CCCCAAAACCCCAAAACCCCAAAACCCCAAAACCCCAAAACCCCGGACAGTTAATCTCTCGTTGAATTTATTCATAAGTTTTATTTCTATTATTCAATTTCCTTAATTTCTCCAATACTAAGTTCTTCAATTTCATCACTTTTATCAGCTCAATATTTCTTGTCAATTGGAGAATAGAACGATAAGCTTGGGACTTCCTTCTCCGATCTTATACCAAGCACATTTTCTCCAAGTTTCATAAAATTCAGACCCTTGTTCTCCTAAAAACAGTTTAAATGTTTACTTACTGCATGGCCAATATGGAACTGAGCTGACTTCCGTCCTTCTCCTGGGAGTTTCATCCTTGTGATCCTCATATCCTGATCCTCAGCAGTGAATTCTTCCTCACTTTCAACATTTTTCTTGCTAGAGGGATCTACAGCTTTCAACTCATTACTCTTCACATCTTCATCGAAGTGATTGATGTTCTTAGGGATTATCTTAGACGAACTATCCTCCTCAGAGATAACAATTGATTCATCTTTTTCTTCTATTGGGTTTATGTAAGTTATAGGCTTCATCTCTCTTTGAGACTCTGGATTATTTTCCCAACTCTTTTGGCTATCAATCATCTCTAGCGATAAGAGCTTTCTTTGACTCATTCTTAGAGAAACTCTTTTGTATCTAGCCCATTTAGAAATTATCCTGGCAGCAATTACTTTTTCAACAGTTGTTATGATATCTTTTTTAGATGCATTTTTATATCTGCTATCCCACTTTTTTCTTATTTTCCTTTCTAAAAGTCGAAATGAGTTGCTTCTTAAAACTCTATTTAAGTTCCCATGGCCAGAAGAGTTATTTAATTAACCTCTTGCATACATCTTTGAAATGTATCCGACGGTTTTCGTATATAGGAATGTTGTAGTGTTTCAAGATCTTTAGCCATAAGTCTTCTCTCAGTAAGATCTTCTTTTCAGTATGGTAGAAATACCTCTTATTTCGTTCTAGAAGTTAAGTAGATTGTTACCTTTATCTTTGATCAGGAGAATCTCTTTGCACTCTTGGAGGTACTCTTCATGTCTGACATCTTTACCAACCTCAATCCTTACTTCTATGGAGTTTTGCTCCATCTGAGAATTGTAGAGTGTCACATAATTCTTTCGATATGACAGTGGCACTTCTCTTCCTAAGCCGATAGGCTTTGGGAGTTCGAATAGAAGGAAAATATATGCATCTATTGATATCCAACCTGTCGCTTTTGGGTCATAGTCTGACCAAAGATGGATAAATGTGTTAATATTATCACTACTGATCAATGCTCCCTCGTCTTTTCTTGCTGATGCGAGACCATCAATAACCGCTGCAACTGTCAAGTTCATTGCAATGAAATTAATTATAAGTACGAATAAAGTAAAGTAAGGGATTGCAAAATTAGATCCTCAGCCTAATACGCCGTCTTTTTGCATTTCGTCATAAGTCTGATCATCATTTCAGTAAACCCCATCAAATTCTCCACTTTCTCCAAGATCTTCCATAACTAGATTCCAATCTTCTCCAGTAGCTCATCTCAAGAGAATAATTATTGAGAAAAAGAAGTTCCTGAAATTACTCAATCTGTTATAATTCTCTCTGTACATCACAGTTGCAAAGAGAGAAATCCCTAAGCATGAGAAAATAAATAACAACAAGAAGATCAGAGACATTATGTTCGTGACCTGCGGAATTATATACACTAAGGCATCGAGTATCATCTTTCCAAATGATTTTACTAATCTGAAGATTCTGAGGATCCTAAAGGCCCTAATTACAGTAGCTGCTGTTGAAATATTGACACTTAAGAACAAACTCATAATGAAGCCAATATCTGTGCCAATAACAATAGCAAAGTCAAATCTATTCCAAGATCCTTTGAAATAATGCATTCCATTTCCAATAATTTTAAGGATCATTTCAAGATTAAATATGATGCTGAATACCATGTTGGCTGTTTCCAGAGCTAATTCATAATTATCTGACATTCTTGCATATCTCATTGACATTAGAAGTGTGTTTAATAAAATTCATACCATGATGAACCCTTCAAAATATTGATGGTTCACAAGATCATGAACCTTCTTTCTCCATTTACTTTTTGGCTCAGGAGGTTTAAACCTCAAGGATTGGCGTAACATAATGTGCTGGATTTCAACCCATTTCTTCTGGTTCTCAGTGATGAAAACACCTTTACCTCCCATTTCTTCAGATCCTTTTATCTTGTTAAAGTTGTCAATGATCACGCCAACAAATAGATTGATAATGAAGAGAGATCCTACAACCATGAAGCAGACGAAATATATGATCATAAAAATTTGGTTGTTGGTCTCAGGCTGTTTATCAATACCTCTTGTGTCAACACCTCTGTTCATCACACTGACCCATCCTTCGGTTGTTGTCATTTGAAAAAGAGCAAACATTGCATTGATGGTATTGTCAAAGTTTACAAAATAATTGTCCCAGCTACCACCTTGGTCTAAACAATCTTGTTTGGTTTTAACTGTTTGCAAAATCTCATCAGTCAGTCCTTCACAGCTATAGAAAGCTCCCTTGAGGAAGTCTACTCCCATAATAGCAAATATCAACAAGATGAGCAAGCACACTAACAAGACATTTGCCATGGCTGGAATTGATGAGAACAGAGCATTAATCGAGATCTTCAAGCCTTCATTTCTACTAATCATTCTTAATGGTCTTAAAGCTCGAATTGCTCTCAAAGCTTTGAGGCTTTTCAATTGTGTTGTATTAGGCCCACTTGATGAAACAGTGAATGAAAAGTCAACAAGTGAGCTTACAACTACAAATAAGTCTAAAATATTCCATGCATTCAGAATATATGGGGGAATACCTGGAAAATTATTGTGGATGAATCCTAGTGCAATAATTTTCAAAATAGCTTCTATCAGAAATAAGAAAGTGAATATATAGTCCAAGTACTTTAGCAGCATAAAGAACACTGACTCCGAGTTTGTAAGAGGCGTATCCACTCAGAGAAGAATAGAGGAGGCCAAAATAAGACCTATTATGATAGAATCAAATATCTTTGAGTAGCCAATATGCTTCTTTTCAGTAAGCAATTTCCCTTCAACTATTTGTATGTCTTTGATATGATAAGATTTTTGCAAGTCTTTGATACCAAACTCCTCTGAATTTTTGAGTGCCTCGTTAATTTCAATCAAATTTTCAGATCCAAGTACAAGGATCAATAAGAATTTCCGTATTTCCCATTCTTCATTAAAAATGAATAATGAGCTGCTCTTCACATAGGACCATATTCTTCGGAAAATATGAGGATCGCTCTCCTTTACAGATGTTTCTTCTAGAATTTCGGACATTTTAAAAGATGATCTACAGGATTAGAGTGGATTACCTCGATGAAGGGCTCTTGACTGGAGAAAATTTAGGAAATCTATAGCCTTCTTTTTCAACCTGTTCTTGTTCTATTTGGGCAATTGAAGAAAGATCGTTCCTAGAGGAGAGCTCAAGTGAGCTAATGTATGATGGAGAAGAAATTTGTAGGAAAATTTAATGTAAGTAAAAATGCTAGCCAAGATATTTAAACTTTATGATTATATTCTTGAATCTAAAGACTCATTTCCTTACAATTCATCATAATTATTCGAACTTTCTTTAAAATTGCTCGATCAGTTATCCTTCTTATATGTCTTATGGGACTCTATAAATCACAATTGTGGCCTACTCTTATTCAAATTCTGGTTACTTCCTTCTCTGAGTTCACCAAAGGTTATTTTACTTTCTTCTTCTATCCTTTCATCATAAGCTTTGCCGTCTTGCTGGTTGGCTGGGCCATCTTGGTTGTCTTCTCACTTGAACTCTTCCTTAGATTCTTCATCTTTCGACCCAAAGCGCACATGGAGCTGTTCGGAATCTTTCTCTAACTCTTTAATGACTCTTTGTTCGGAGAAATCCTCTTTAAGAGACAGGTCTTCTTTGGAATTGTGGGATATTTTCTTCGACGTTTCTGCAGCAAGGCTTGAGGCCAGCATCCGAGTGGGCCCTAGAGAAAGAGTGGTTGGTGATATTGAAGGAATGTAGGAAGATGAGAGGAAGATTTATGGAGAGTTTAGAGCCGAAAATTGGGGTTGATAATTATTTGGAAAGAAGTAGGGCGTTTATAGCATGCTTTGAGATTAAGCCTTCATTGGCTGGTTACAACAGCTATTCGAACAAAAATTAATACTAACTTAATTAAAAATCTCGAGCCCTTAATACTTTATTTTTTGTTAAAGACCTAAAATTCTAATTGATCATTACCAATGAAACTTTTCACTAAAATGCTTCTGACAAAGGTAGAATTTTTGAAAACCTTCATAGTTTTTCAAATCCAGTAAGAATAATATCAAAGACAATAACATTGTAATATTTTTGAATAGATCAAAGCTTACCTTGAACAGGAAGAGAGGACATTTTCACAAACTTCAAATTTTTAACCATTTTCAGGTCATTTTCATTTCTTTTCTTGGCTACTCTTTTACTTTTACTAATAGTAGTCCTTGATCTTCTATAATAACTCTTTTTAATGGTTCCTTTATCCTTCTTTGCGCCTCTAAAAATTCAAACTGTTGCTTACAAGATGCCTGTATCTGCAATGGCAATCTCTGCTACTTTACCAAGTACCAATCTAAGGCTTTCCTTAAGTTCCATGTTTTTTTTCTTACAAATTTCTAGCTCAGTCAATAATTTCTTCTTGTTCATATAAATTCTGGCCTTATCGAAGTTGCCGAGTAATACAGCCAGGAATAGGTTAAGCATAATAATACTACCGCTTACAACCAGTGAGATGAAGTATAGTGCTGAGATGTCACCTGTGGCCCTCATACAGTCGTACATCATGATGTTCCAGTTATCTCCAATCAAGATTTTGAAGATGGTCAAAAAGGCCCACCCAATATTGTCAAAATTCTCTCTACTAACCGTACCATTCTCTAAATCGTGATTTCCTTCTTCATCAAATTTCAGTTTTCCTGCAAAGAACTGCATTCCAAGTAAAGCATATACGTATATAAACAGCACTAAGAGTACCACATAGTTGCCAATAGACCCTATCGTCATTGTAATTGAATCCAAGAGAACCCTGAGATTCCCAACCCGAAATATTTTAAACACCCTGAACAATCTAAACGCTCTCAATGCTGTAAAACTCGAATTTCCACTTAAAACAAAGAGATCCAGTATAGAGATTACAACAATCAAGGTATCAAAAAGATTGAACTTATCTCTTGCGAACTCCTTCATGCCCTTCCCGATGACCTTCAAGAGCACCTCCAGAGTGAAGATCACTGTGAAGACTGTGTTAGAGAGATTTAGGAATTTGTTAAAGTTGTCGTTGTGTTCAGGGTGTTTTTCGAGAGCTAAGAGGATTGTGTTGGTGATGATTCATAAGAAGATGAATGAGTTGAAGAAAGGAGCCTCTACTAGTAGGAAGAAGAATCTTGTGAAGTTTACAGAATGATATTTTCCATTTGGAACTTCAACTCCGGAATTATAGATAAAGTTTTCATAAAGGCGATGTTTCAGGTGAACCTTCCAATTCTCTTTACTTTGTTTCTTATCCTTAGACTTTATATCATGGTTTAGCAAGAATTCAGTCAGTTCATTAGGAAGGCCAGCTTCTCTTCCAATGTCAAATAATTCATTGATCATTTCTTTGTTTCCTTGAGCAGATGAGATCTCTTCATACTTATCTAACATGATGGCGATAGTCAGGTTTAGGATGAAAAATGATCCTACGAATAATAAGAAGATAAAATAAAGAGGGGCAATGTACCTCGATGAAGAGTTTTGATAGATATACATAATGTTTGTCCACCCTTCCATTGTTGTTACTTGAAATATGGTCAGAAACGCATAAGCAATATTGTCAAAATTTGTAAAACCCCAGTTCAGATTTTTTATTTTCGTGTCTCTATATAAATCAGACACATTCACCGTGCCATGATTGTCAAATTGGTCGATTAGAGATCCACAGTATGTTCCATCTGGGCATGATCTATCCCCACAAGTTGTATACTCACCAGGAGCGACTATCCAATCCCCATCTACAGGAGCTGGTGTAGTTCTTCAACGATAATGGATATCTCCTGCCCATAGTGATATTCCCAAAATAGCGAAAATGAGCAAGAAGAAAAATGCAAAAATCATAATTTCTCCCAATCCTACCACAGAAGATAACAGGGTTCCTATCAACAGCTTCATAGACCCTAATGAAGTCAGGCTTCTCAGTGGCCTAAACAGTCTAAATGTCCTGATACCTGAATAATTTGAAAATGATGGTAGAAGATTGAGTAGACTTGTGATAACCACTAAGAAATCTAGCCAATTCCAAGGATCTCTCATATAGGTGCTTTTTCCACCTACAAAGCCCATTGCGATGATTTTTATAATACATTCCAATGTGAAGAGAACCATGAAGATAGGTTCACTTCTATCAACAATTTTGTTCCTCCAACTTGTGTTTTCTTTGTCAGTGTAATCCATCATGCCAAGCATAAGAGAATTAACAATAATTAAGAAGATAATGAACCAGTCAAAGGGTTTCCAAAAGATTAACCTTATACATAATTTTCTTAAAAAGTTTTGTTTCTTGAAAAAGAAACAACTTGTTTCTACCAATTGGTTTTCATATGCGTGTCTAGTCTTAACTTCCGTTTCATCAAGATCTTTTATCTGGATCAGGGGTTTCTCAGCATTCCTCGGTTGAAGGACATCTCTGATAGAGGTAAACTCTCAAAGATCTGTGTTCGAATATTTCATACTTTGCTGTAATAAAATTACGGTATTAAAAATATTATTTCTATATTTACTCCTTTATTGGGGTTTTGGGGTTTTGGGGTTTTGGGG